GTTGTTACATCAAACCAAGATGCCTAAAGCTTCAAGAACGCCAAAACGATGTAAAAGAAAGAAAAGATAGTACTGTATCAAAGTTTAAAATTCTGGTATCGTGACAACCTTACAGGTGGGAGTAGACTTGAGTTTTTGTAGCGTAACCCACTTACACACCCACAATCCTATTTACTATACAGGATCAATAAGATTAGCATTTCACAATTCGAGGTCACATAAACAGAGCAACAGGAGATACATAAGTGCCCAGAGAGGTCATACCTGCAGGGTTTGATCCCTGTAACAGATGGTGTATCTCTCCATACTGAAGGACCTTAAAGCTGAACACTAAACCCCCTCCTGGGTCACCACTACTCTCTCACATTGCCCTTTAAAACAAAAAGGTGCAAAGAGTTAATGTATGTGTCAATTCTATGTTTTTGTTTTCCTTCCTTTCCTTTTATTGCCTTTAAAACGACGCTGATTTAGCATCACACTCGACTCGATGCAGCAGAACCAGATAGATCATCTTTTTTATTGTTATTATTCCACACATTCTTATTCCTGATCTAAACCTGGTGCATACATTACCCAACATGCAACTCGACCACTGAGAGTTCGGTCTGAGGTTCACGTATTTTATGTTAGTATCTGCTAATGTAGCCTCAAGTGGAGGAGCCTACAGAGATCTGGTAAGCTCACTTCTTTCTAACTCCACACATCCAGATTTTTTACCATTTTCAAATTTGTAGTCTTCAACCTCAAACAACGCTGACTCATGTGACATCACTTGAGGTAATTTATCAGACTCGACTCGTTGTACAGAGTATGCTCATGGCTGAACCCACACCTTTGATTATCACCCAGATATCTGTAGTGAAATGAAACCCAATATTATCAGCAATCGCATGTGTAACCAAATATTGTAATATGTATCCAAGAATTGGTCGAGGATGCTGCTCTTTTTCGCCAAATTGATCCAAATTGAAAACGCTCCTGATCTTTTGGTTTTGGGACTGTAGAAAAAAGAATCGAA